AGCGGGGGCGGGGAAGGAGCCGGGTGGGTGGTGAGGGCAGCAGAGTGTGAGCTGGGGAAGGGGTGGGGTGGGGAGGGGTGGGGGCTTTGGCTTGGCCAGTGACAGGCAGGGAGGGGTGCTCCAATTCTCCTGGCCCCAGTTGGGCCTCCTAACTCCTGACCACTGCCACACCCTGGGCATCCCCGTTTGCCTCTGGGCCTATGCACCTACGTCCTGGATACTTGCCCTTGTATGCTGACCCCCTTTGCCAGGCCACTCTCCTGATCTGAGCACTGAGACCTCCAGTTCTACTCCCATTGGAAAGCCTGCAGTACCTAGTGGGTCAGACCCACACTCTCAGCCAATGGCCAGACCTTCCAGGGAAGGGTTGCTGCTCCAGGAGCACTTAGACACCTGCTCCACCCTCTGGGCTGCTCATCGGATCTTTGCCCACCTAGCCAGTTATTGCGCTGTAGGCTCCCTACTTCAAGCCTGCCCCTCTGGGCGGTCTCTGGAGCACACATTCCACCGCGCAGGAGTCAAGGGCTGCATGCCAGACGGACAGTGGAGCGCTAGAGGGAGCCACTGCGCTCCAGGCCAGCTGGGCTCAAATGCCATCTCTCCTTTGAGGAAGCCTGTGGTCCCTGTGCCCTGTCCCTCTTCAGTGCACCAACTCCAGCACTTCCTGGGAGGCTGCAGACCCTAGCCACTTCCCAGGGCAGCCCCTTATCTGGCTGCTGCTCACCTGCTCCTCAGCCCTGGGCCCAGGGTCAATGTCCTGAGACCCGGTTAGGACCTGACTAAGTACTCCCCCATATCTGGCACACCAGCAACTAATCCATGTTTGTGGAAGAACAGAAAAGGACTCTGCCATGTCCACAGAGCAGGTGAACTGGTGCCCTGGCATGGCAGGTCTCAGTTCTGTGACTGCTGAAAAGGTGAATGAACAGCCAAAACGCAAATGCAGGGAGGGACGTGTGGCAGCCACACAACTCCCACTAGAGCAGCCTTCTGCGAGATGGAAAGGTCCCAGAATGTGTTCTTTTAGCCAGTGGGCTGTTCAACTCTTAGAGAATCCATGGGCTATGCAGCACTTCAGGGGGAAAGTGGGACTTGCACAGGCAGACGGCATCAGGTGTAGAACAGAAGCCACAGTGTGGGAGGCCTTTCACAACTCCTGCTGCCACCCAAGCCCTCTGCTGAATGCAGGCTCAGGCAGTCAGAGAACCAGTCCACCTGGGCCCAGTTTGCGGGCTCCTAGCTTGTGGCTTTGGACCGGTCGCTCCCCACCTGGGCACCAGAACTCTCATCTGTAAAAAGGCTAGCAGAGCACGGCCTCAGAAGTCATGGAGGTTAAATGAGATGGACACATGTGTGGCCAACCCAACAGTGGGCACAGAGGGACAGGCTGAAAAAGCTACCTACCACCATGAAACAACAAGCAGTGTACTTGGCAGCTCGCTCAGCAATGCCTCCCAAACACCTGAACGAGCAGGAAAGGCAGCCCTGCGCTCAAGGCACGGAGAGGGCAGGTTTGTCCCCAGCAATGGCTGCCTGTACTGAGACCAGGGGATCCCAGCAGAGACCCCTCACCTGCCAGCACATTCTGAAAAGCTTCCCGGAGGACTCCTCCCAAAGGACACTGCTTGGGTAGGTCAGTCCTGTCTTGCTGATGAGCAATCTCAGCAGAGGGGCTAGCTGGCAGCCCATGTCCCTAGGCCCCATGCACAGCCTGCTCTCAGTTCTGAGAACACCAAGGCTCCCAAATGCCCCTGGCTTCTCAGGCTCCCAGGGCTCAGTGTGAGTAGAAACCACAGTCCTGGCAGGTGTAAAGGGCTAAGGAGATCAAACTCCTCCTTGGTTTCGAGCCCTCGTAGAGGACGCTCCATCCCCAGTGCCCTTACCAGGCATCCCACCCTCCTGAGCCCTCCTGAGCCTCTACACCACAGGCTTGACTACATCCTCTCATTCTCAGGCTCCCTCAGCTGCCTACAGTCCTCAAGGCAAGCCCCAGCTCCATGCAGGAGTCAGTTCATCAAGCCTGCCATGGCCACAAGGCCTCACTCCTCCCTCCCCATCCTGAGAGCCCCCTGGGGCCCCTGCACAGGGCCCAGCACCACAGAGGCCCTCCTGCCTGTCCCCAGGCACTTCTGGCTCAGATGCCCCACCCACTCCCATCCTCCAGGGTCCCAGGCCTACCTGACTCTGCTCTGGCTGACCCCCCCTGCCGAGAGGCCAGCGTCGCTGTCTCGGTCAACATCGTCGCTATCCCGGTCACGGCCTTTCTCCTCATGCAGCCGCTGCAGCAGCAGTTGGTGGGGGAGGCTTCGGAGCGAGGGCCCAGGGGAGGCTGCTGGCTGCACAGCACCCTTCAGGTTGATATCACTGGCCGAACGCTGCAGGGGCCGAGGAGAGGCCAAGCCACTGGGGCCAGCCAGTCGCCGCCGCTTTGCATAGCTGGGGGTCTCCCTGAATGGTACTGGGGAAGGGACACAATGAGATGGTGAGCAGCAACCAGATGACCCACTGCACCAGTTCACCAAAATCCTACTTTCTCCAAACTGCCTCAGGCCCTGCAAAGCAGCACCTGCGACCGAAGCTGCACCAAGGGCCTCATCCAAGTCACATGGCCTCCAATGCTGCAGTGGGGGCAGCTGCCCTTTGCAGCCAATGACAGCCAGGGGCACTCAGAGCTGCGCACTTCACAAGTTTCAGAGAGGCAAAACCAGCTGTGTATTACGAATCTCACCAAGTGCTGTCATACCACACTGTGGTGGTAAGCCGCAGCTGGGAAACCGTAAGATACTCTAGAGCAAAGGGTAGCAAACGTCTCCTGTGAAGAATCAGACGGTAACTATTTCAGGCTTCACAAGCTATTGAGTCTGTAATGACTCAACTCTGCCACTGTAGCCTGAAAACAGCCACAGATGAGGAATAAGCAAATGGGTGTGTCTATGTTCCAATAAAACTTTATTTAAAAAGCCAATGGTGATATAAAATATATATACACATATACATATATATGAGTGTATATATATATATATATATAAAATCTGGCCTGGTCCCATGGCCTGGTGGTTGAGGGAGCCAGATCCCACATGGCCAACCACATAGTTTGACTCTTGGACCTGGTGGCTTGAAAAATACACCAAGTGGGCCAGCAGGTGGCATGGTGATTAAGGTGCTGGACTCCCACATGGCCAACTGCAGTTCAAGTCCTGAAGCTGGTGGCTTGCTTTCTCACTTTCTCTGTCTCTCCCTGGCGAATACATATGCCCTATAGCAAATTAAAAATTATAATAATAATAAATATAATTTTATAAATCATTCTTTAAAGAAGAACACAATGGGCACGTGTGTGTGTGTGTGTGCCTAAAATCATAACAGGGTAGACAGACGGAGAAGGGACTGTGGTGTGACCACACCCCATCGGGGGGTGTTTTCTCCTCTCCCTCTCTCATTGTCTCTCTCTGGTGAGTGCACACACTTGCTGGCAATATTAAAATGTGTGTGTGTGTGAATCATTTTCAATTGAAAGATACAAAGAGGATGAAAGTGATATAAACAGTAACAGCAAAGTGTTGGGTGGCTATATTAACATAGGCAAACAGACTTTGAGAGGAGGGCCAGCAGGTGACGTGGTGGTCAAGGGACTGGACTCCCACATAGCCAACCATGGTGTGAGTCCCATACCCGGCAGCTTGAAAATCACTCCGGGGGAGTGTGAGTATGTGCCCAAAATCCTGAAAGGAGAATGGAGAGGGATTGTGGTACGATCATTCCTCACAAAGGGGGGTGATTTCTCACTTTCCCTTTCTCTGTCTCTGACAAGTACATGTACCCTACGGCCAAAAAACGTAGACTTTGAGGTAAAAACTACCAAGAGGGACCGGCTAATGGACAGAGAGAGCACAACTGGGCTCACATGGAAAGGTTCTGGCTCTGCCTCCTGAGCCCCAGGGCGTGTTGAGCTCAGGTTCCAATGATTCAGGCTGGCTGAGTCTGGGGCGGGTCCCTGCATGGAGGTCTGCTTGGGTACCCTGCTGCTCTATCTACATCTGTTTCTCATCCTCATGGAAGAAATAAATAAACTTTCATAAAAACTGTAACAAGAGACAGAGGACAGCATGTATTATAAAAATATAGGTGCATCAAGAAGATGAACAATTATTGCAACCAGCAATTGGCGGAATGGCTATGTCACTGGATTCCCATGTAGTTGACCACGGTTTGAGTCCCGGACCAGGTGGCTTAAACTCATGCCGAGCACATGTACATGCGTGCCCAACATCCCGAGAGGAGAATGGAGGAGAAGGCACTGCGGCGCAGCCAGCCCCCCTGGTGGGTGATTTCTCGCTTTCTGTCTCTCTGTCTCTGTCTTTCCAGAGAGCGCGTGTGCCCTATAGCAAAAACCTCTCCAAAAAAAAAAAGAAGATGAACAATTGTTAACATATATCACCAAAGAACAGGCCACCAAAACATGCAAAACAATTGAAGGAAGAATCAAGCAGTTCCACAATACTAATAGTTCACTACCCAATTGTGAATAATGGACAGAACATGTAAAGAAGATTAATAAGGACACAGAAGATTTAAGCCAATTAGACTAACAGATACATACAGAAACTCCTCCCAACAGCAGCAGAACATGCTTGAGAATTCTTTTTAAGTGCACATGGAACATATTCTCGGATAGACCATATGTTCAGCCACAAAACAAGTCTCAATAAATTTGAAAAGACTGAAATCATACAAAGTTTCTTCTCCAATCACAACAGAATGAAGCTAGAAATCAAGAACAGAAGGAAAACTGGAAAATTCACAAATAGATGACACTGACTTAAACACTACTCTTAAATCAGTGTGTCAAAAAGAAATGACAAAGAACTTAGAAAACACTTGAAGACAAATGAAAACAAAAACACAACATGACAAAAGTTGTGGGATGCAGCAAAAGTAGTACTTAGAAATTTAGAGCTGTTAACATATACATTGAAAAAGGGGAGGGCCAGCCTATAGCTTGGTGGTTAAGATGCCTGGATCTCACCTGGCCAACTGTGCAGTTCAAGTTCTCGACCCAGTGCTCAAAAAACATGCTGGGTGCAGGTGCATGTGCATGTGCACTCAAAATCCAAGGAGAAAGTTAAAGAGGGCTTTTTTTTTTCTTTTGTTTGCTGAGATGTGGCCATCCCTCCTGGGGGGGGTGATTTCTCATTTTCTCTCTCTTTCTACCTCTGTCTCTCTCCAGTGAGTGCATGTGCCCTATAGCAAAACTGAAAATAAATAAATAAATAAATAAAGGGGGGACAGCTCATGGTGTGGCAGCTAAGATGGCTGGATCCTCACATGGTCAGTCTTGGGTTGTAAGTCTCATACCAGATGATTTGAGAAATACTCTGGGCACATGTGCATGCATGCCCACAATCCCAAAAGGAGAAATGGAGAAGGGATTGACTATGCCTTCAGCTGGGAGGGGAGAGGAATTTCTCCTCCTACCCCAAACAGTTTTCCAAGAAGTACACATGCTCTCTGACAAAATTAAAAAAAAATGAAACTTTCAAGTTGGTTACTTAAGAAACATCTTAAGAAACTAGGAAAAAAGAGTAATCCAACTCAGCAAAAGAAAATTAGCAGAAATAAGAAAATTACAAGATTAGAACAGATATAAACAAGATAGAAAATAGAAGAACAATAATCAATGAAACAAAAAGTTCTTTCTTTGAAAATATCAACAAAGTTGACAAAGTCTTTGGGCTAGACTAACTAAAAAAGAAAGAAGATAGAAATAACTATAATCGGAAGTAAAATCTGAGGCATTATTTTTGAATTTACAGAAACAAAAATAATATAACACAATGCTGTGAAAAATTGTATGCCAACAAATTAGTTGAGCTAGATAAAATGGACAAATTCATAGAGAAATACAAATTACTCAAACTGACTCAAGAAGAAGTGGAAAAATCGAAATAGATCTGCAATAAGCAGAAACTGACGCTGATCACAAACCTCCCAAAAGTCCACTGCTGAATGCTAAACGTTTAAAGAGGGAGTAACCCAATGCTTCCCAAACTCTCAAAAACACAAAAGAGGGCACACTTCCCAACTCATTCTGTAAGGCCAGTATTACACAGATTCCAAAGCGAAATAAAGACATTGTAAGGAAAGAAATCCATGGGCCAATGTAATACATGGCATTGATGAAACAGAGGGACAGGGGCCAGCAGGTGATATGGTAGTTAAGGTACTGGACTCCCACATGGCTGACCAGGGTTAGAGTCCTGGACCAGGTGGCTTGAAAAATCACACTGGGTGTGTGTGCATGTGTGCCCAAAATCCTGAGAGGAGAATAGAGGAAAAAGGATTGCAGGTAGCCATCCCCCAGGGGGCCAATTTCTCACTTGCCTTTTCTCTGTGTCTCTCGGGAGCACACACATCCTATGGCAAAAACCTAAAAAAAATAACAATAACACTCTTGGAAGAAAACACAGGGTGTAAATTCTTGTGACCTTAGATTTGGCAATGTATTCTTGGTTAGATACCACACCAAAAGCGTGAACAACAAAAGAAAAAAATAAACACACTAGATTTAACCAAAATTAAAGACTCTTCTACACTAAAGGACATTATTAAGAAAGTGACAAGAGGGACCAGCAATTAGCGTAATGGCTATGTTGCTGGACTCCTATGTAGTCAACCGTGGTTCGCGTCCCAGACCCGGTGGCTTAAAACTCACACCGGGCGCGTGTGCGTGCATACCCAAGATCCCAAGAGGAGAATGGAGGAGAAGGGATTGCGGCATGGCCATCCCCCCTGGGGGATGATTTCTCATTTTCTGTCTCTCTGTCTCTGTCTGTCTGGTGAGCGCACACGCC